TGATCTGTGACAGTATAGATTTATATAAATATTTTATACTCTCCACCGGTAAAACTCCAATATTTATCGTTGATGTTTAATACTTTAATTAAATAATCTGTAATAAAAATATTAACTGGTTAAACATTTTAATATAACCTATATAACAATTTCATTTTATTTTTTAATCTCTAATTTATAATGTAATTTTGGATAATTACTTACTTCTAATAAATTTTAATCTTGAATTTATTTTTATAAATGTATGAAATAATATATTGTAAAATAAATTTTGATAAAAATAATTGTAAAAAAAAATGTAATTAAGCTCTTAATTATTTAAAAAAATAACATCACCAAGAAAAAAATATTTCATTATAATTGTATTAAACTTATTATTTATATTTGAATATATTGTTCAATAGTTTTATCAATTCACTAGCAAAGTTAGAAATTTAAGTTTATGAAGATCGAATGTATTAAAACTCCTATAAAGGAAGCTGATAATTGTAATTATACACAAATTCTTTCAAATATTTATACACAAAATAAGAATTTGAGAATTATTGGAGGGGCGATAGCCCCCTTCGGCTCTATGCCGACTCCGTCACCGCATCAGTTCCTTTTTTTGTATGTCTTCATAAATGGATGCCCATTTTGACTTATTGATGGCACGTAGTAATCAAATGAAGTCTAAATTTAGTACATAAAAAAGATATTGTTTTGTGTTTTCATATATATAAAATATATTATTTTTTTAAAAATTGTAAGTAAATCGTGGGATCACGTGATGTCGCGTGACAGCAGGTTAATGTTAGAGAATATAATTTGGATTTGTTAACACATGTTGCGTGGCTCGTGACTTTTGGCATGCAATTTTTTTAACATTATATTTTACTTAAATTATCTTACAAGTATGTCTATTAGGGAATCTAATCACGAGACCCATTGGGTTTTTGCACATGATCATACACCATAAAAAAGAATTACATAATTGCCAATTTTTAACTAATTTATATAGTTAATTCAAAATTAAATAAAACTCATCATTGCGACAGTTCTTGTGTGATTTGCAGGCTATTGTACGAAGAATTAAGTTGTTACGAGTTCTTTTGTAAGAAAATAAATAGGAATTTATACTTTAGGAAAATTACGTACGTACAAATTTTGTCTTAGTAATTTATTTATAAGTATAAATTGAATATATTTTTTAATAAATTACAAATTTATCCATTGTCATTTTTTTTTTGGTAATTTAAATGTTATTAAATCACCCATTTATGTGGGATAATGAATTTCAATATGATTCAATGATTGTTGATGAATTAAATATTTAAGTATATAAATTTACTAGTTCACCTGTATTTTTTTTTAATATCCTCAACTTCAACTTAGACATAAAGCATTGTCTGGTCAAGACATCATTTTTCAATAATCAAGCTACATATCCTCATTGATATTATATATTAAAATTAATAAAATAATCAAGTTTTATTTAATTTTCAGCTAGTCAATAATTTTTCAGGCCGGCCCATAATTACGAAAATATAAGTTTATTGAAGAATTGAGTATTGGACCTCCCATAGTTTTAATTATACAATTGAGTCACAAAATTTTATAATCTTATTTTAACTAATTTTATCTTGACAGTCAAATAATAAATATCGAAAATAATATGTAAATTTATAATTAATCATATGTAAATTTATAATGTTACATCAAATAATTAAATATTGGAAAAAAATATAGAAGTGCATAGACAATAAATAGGCTCCATACAGAATATATTTAATCAAAGTTTAGCTTTGGTACTCGCAATTTTAACTTATTAAATAATGGCCCATAAGTTTCTGAGCTTTTCTTTTTTTCTTGTAAAGGTTGTTAAAAGTAGGCAGGGGGGCAGAGGGCCATGATCTATAGGGGCCCCAATATCATGTCTTCAATTAATATTAGACCAATATAATTGTTTTTTTAATCCATATTTTTAAAATCTATTAATAATATAATACATCCACTATTATTAGATTAGTTTTATATTGCACTAGTACATTAAATTCTATAAAATTAGTATTCTATAATTTATTGTTGTCAGTAGTAAAATAGTAGTAAAATGATAGTTACTGGTTTCCCAATTTCCGATCGAGTAACTCGAAGTCTATAATCCATGACCAAATATATCCTAAGCGTAAACCGTTTTACCAAGAGACTATCTTATCTTGTCAATTAATATTATTATATATTGATTTTATATATGTTCTTAGTAGTATACTTTTATTTTTCAAGTAAAAACCTACTTAGTAGTATATTGATTTTATATATGTTCCGATTTCAAATTTTTTGAAACAGAATTGAAGTATATATTAGATTCCGATTGGATTTTTTTTTCTAGGACAATGAAGATATATTCGGCATTCATTCATTACGATAATTAGAACAAGTTAATTTATATTACATTCTTGAGTGCCTTTAGAAAGGGCTTAATATTATTAATCTTTTATTTCTTCAAAAGAGATTCATTTCTTAAATAATAACCACATTAAACATTAATCCTCAAAATTAAAAAAAGGGCTTATTAATTATTAGTATATCTTTTTGTTTCTTCAAAAGGGATATGCATGTATTAAATAAATTTTACATTTATAAGATGGACAAGCCATATGTCATGATCCACACTTATGTTAGTGTTGGATAAGATTTTTGACTCCCATAGTATATTATTTTAATTTATACATAAATATTTATATATACAATGTATATTGACACACACGTACACACTGATTGATTGCATTTCTACTTAAAAAAAGTTTTCATGCAAAATCTAATCTTAAAAAATAATATAAAAAGTTAGGTACATGTTTGATATGCCTAATTGGGCCAACCCAATGGGCCTACAATTTCTTTACCTACTGGGCTACGAGCCCAATATCGAAGACCAATATCACCGATGCCCAAACACCTTCAAGTAAGGCTTGGGCCCAACAAAGCAAACCCAACCCAATAAACGACATATAAATAGAGGTTTTACTCATTTTATTAAGGTACGTCCTATTAACTGAGCAATACTACAATACGTATTCTCTGGACTATTTCTATGATCAGCACGTCTGACTTGAGCGTCGGAGGGGTTTCCGCCGGATCAACCCCCGGCGTAGTTCACGTGTGTTCATTTCGCAGGTACCTCAGGATCATCAAGTTGTCAAGCTACTGATCTGCTTTGCTCTCCCAGTTTCTTTTCTACACTACCCAGGTGATCTAAGTAATTAGCATCATCATTTTGGCGCCGTCTGTGGGAACGATGCAAACCAGATCACGTAGCCAACAAGATCCTCCTGAGGCGTCTGCTCGGAGAAAAAATGACACAGCTAACGACCTCCCACCTCGTGGAGGCTCTGGCTTGCCACCTCCTCCACATCCCATGGATCCGCCTTGCGAGGTTCAGGTGATCCCCCCTCGGGACCCACCACTCGCCGATCCACCGCTCCATGCTCCTCGAATGGTTCAAATAACCGAGGATGTGATTGTCTGCACGTTATTATTTGTCACTTTAAATTTTTAATAATGATGCATTAAATCTATTTTTTTTTTCCTGTTTTAACCTTATTAATCAAACTCTAAGTATTAACTCAATCTTATCACATTATTAAATGATTATGATTATTTTAGTTATTCTAATGCATTGTTCCTAAAATCAAGACACATAAATTGAGATTTTTAATATTTGTGCAAGCTAAAAATTACAGTTAATTAAGAACGAACGAAGTACTATTTTAGATTTTACACGCATTCACACACTAATAATTGCAAAAAAACAAAATAGTCTTAAATGCAAGATCTCATCTTAAAAATCATAAAGAATATACGAACATGATTGTTAGTGGAATAGTAGTTAATTCTAGGCATGAGTTGACCATTCAAATTTGTCCCATGATTTTTATTTAAAGTCCTTTAGTGAAATTGTTTTTTAAGCTTCAAATGTTGATTATATTTTAAAAAAAAAAATCTCATAATATGAATTTATATAAAGATCTAAACAATACCACTAGACTTTATAATCAAGAAGGGATAGTGATTAGTGACTGTACAATTGGAGGGCAGATACCACTAACTGGTAAATTAAAGTATAATTTACAAATTAGCAAAGTAAATAATAAATAATTAAGTAGTAAAAAGCTATTCTTTACTTGTTGGTTTGGTATCGCTTTAATGTTCAATTAATTAATTAATCCTCTTCTCCATCCTTTTCTTAAAGGGAATCTGCTACTCTTTTAGTGTTTCTTTATGGGAAAATTACAATATAATTTATATAAAAGTTTTATGAAGATTAAGGCTGCTTTAACTTTGCTTAGTAACCAAACTAAGCTAAGTAGAATACTAATTAATAATTAATAATTATAACCCTCTTGTTTATTGGAATGTTCTTCCCTCTTCCCAAAGTAAATAATTCAATTAACCTTTTCTTCTTTCGGCTCTAAAGCCAAGATTGTTTCTTTGTTGTACTCCATCCTTCCCATTTTACTCATATGTTTTTAATTTTTATGCATAATTTTATTATACCGATTTTACCCTTCTATAAGTAAGTATGGAGAGAGAGATTACCATAAGCTTAAAAACTCGTAGTAGTTTAATTATAATAGTAGGCCCAATATTACTAAAAGTTTCAAGCCCATTAATTTTGGTTAAAATATGTCCTAGTTTATAAGTGAAAGCCCAAGTAACGGACTTGAATTCTTAGCAACTTTTAGTCGAGAACTAATTTATTACAATGCTAAATCCCGCACTAAGGTGGTGTTTGCAAAAGCTTTTAGAAATAGATTATTAGTTTTTCCTCTCTCATAATCTATTTTTAGGTGTTTGTAAAACCGACTTTTATTTTTGCTTCTCTTTAAATAAGCTGTTTTAATCTATAATTTTAAAAGCACACATGATTTACATTGATTTTCCAGATTTTTTGCAAACATCCCCAACTTTTAGAATTAAGCACTTAATATCAACTTAACACACAATTACTAACTTATGCTTTTAAATAAGTTTTTGCAAACACCACCTAAAATTACTAGGTACCATAAGACTCGATTGCATCCATTTCAATCCTTGAGCTGCTTTGATCATATTTCCCAACTCCGTGGACTCCAAGTACTTAAAACTGCTGAAACTGCGATGCTATGCCGTTCAGATATTCGTGAGAGGAGATGAGAGTGATTTCTTCGTTGCCGATTTTGTAAGTGCTGAAACTGCGATGCTATGCCTTTCGAGGAGCGAAATGGGGAAACTCGTGGTGAGGTATTCAGAGGACTCTTTCGATTGAGGACAGTGTGATCTTGTTGTCTGGAAAATCGGAGATAACAGCTCCGAATCTCTTAAGGACCTAGCCACTAAACACTGCTACAAACTAGAAAAGATTGTTCGAGGACAAATTTTAGGGCGTGTTAGAGAGATTGAAGTAGTCGACTCCAACCCTTTGGTCGTGACTTGTGCAAAACGAATTTCGTATGTCGTTGATGCTAACGTCCACTCTTCGTAGGAAGTAGTTGTTATTTCACTGTTATTTTTCCTCTTCTTCCTCCGACTCCCAATTATATTTTTTCTAGTTCAAGTTTACCAATTCCGAGTGTCTTGATTGCCTATAGACGATCGAGTTCATAAAGAAAATCATGAGTTCAAAGTTTATTTTCAAATGGAACTGCAAATTCGATTATGATGCAGTTTGAAATTACCGAAATGCAGAGAAGCGACGATCCCACTTCTTCTTTCGTCTTCTTCTCCGTACTTATCTATTTAAAGACAAAAAATGATTCAAATATAATTGGAAATCAATATTCCTAGTTTAATACATTGTCATGTCACAGTGATGAGATAGAAAAAAAAGAAAACACGTAATGTACCACTCATTTGTCACGGTAGCTGCCAGATGATATCTGTTGGAAGTAAAAATCATGCATGCTTGAACAATTTCATGCTCAACCAATGAAAATAAACGGCAACAAAGAGGATCGGAAGTGTCAAGGGCACCAAGAAGCAATAATACCTGCAACAAATATATAACATTATCTCAATAAGCAGTGAGGATCGGAACTATTGCTGGAAAAACTGAATGCAGCAACTAATGACAAAAATCGAGAGTAGACTGAAGTGTGTCATAATCTACGATATCAGATGTGCATATTGATCAAACGAAAAATTGTTAATACAATTACAATTTGTTGTAAAATAAAGAAACATACGACAGTTATCCATTCCACTAAAGTTTTTTTCGATAAAATTTGGTACCACTTATTCCCTTTGTATCATAACACGACGTATATACTAGTCACTAGAAGAAATATAAATCGATACACTAACGTAGATTACCGCAGTTGATTATAATCAAAGTTAGTAGTTAAATGGACGAAGAAAAATACCAGTCATTTTGTATGGCTTGGATGACAGAATTATCGGATGGAGGCAGAAGTTTCGATACGACAGCGGCGTAGAGGAAGAACACGAACGAAAACGAGCCAAAGATAAGAAAGAACCAACCCCAAAATATCCTCCCATTCGAATCGACAAACTCACGAAGAGCAAGCATCTAACCTAATCTGCAGAAAGGAAGCATCTTTCAGTGAAACAATTCTCTCAAATGTATACCACAATGACGCAATTATTACATAAATAAAAATATGCATCATTTAATTAAATATCTTAAAATGTGGAAAACTTAAATAAAAAAAAGGAATTTCTAAGTAAGATATCTGCAAAAATTACAAGCGTGGGAGAATTTATATCTCCGATAATCACCAGAAGCAAAGAGTATTAATTATTGAAGATTAAAACCCCAAATTGCACAAAAATTAGGGTATGAGATTCAATAAATCGAAGCAAGATCTAGGATTCGTATGTCGAAACAAAAATCAATTAAAAAATTGGGAAAAAGTAAATGTATACCTTGAATCTGAAAATGCACCGCAGGAAAATGCTTTGAGGAGTGAGAGAATGATCAGAAGAAATCAGTGGCGTACGGATGGTGGTGTAGGATGCAGTCACGGCGATACAGGCGGAAGAGATGGAGAGGACCGGCGCTGGGCGGTGGCGCGTAGTGATGGCTACTCCTTTGGCGACGACTGAAATCGACGGTTGTAATTTATTTTCATAAACGGGTAACCGGGTCTCAAACGAGTCGGGTCCTTAAACGAGGCCGTTTGAAATTCTGGACTCTTTTCTACGTATTTATTTGGGCTTTAAAAGTTGGGCTTTTATGTGGTAAATTAGTAATTTTGGTATATAGTCGGAATCCAAGCCTTTAGAAATAACATTGAATTAAGCCTTCGGCCAAATTTCGGTCACCCCTGAGATATGGTTAAATTACGAAAAACCCCTTCTTGTTTGGATAATTACATTTATCCTCTGTTTTAAATATGTTTACCCGAAATTTATATTTATGTAATTCGGTTATTTACTGAACCAAACTGTATATTCAGTTCGGTAAACGGTATGAAATGTTGGCATACCAAAATTTCGGGTCGGTTTTTACCGATTTAACATCCTTTAATTTACCTCAAGAAGGGTATTTGCATAAGATAATACATAGTTAAGGGGGTGACTATAATTACCCAAACAAGAGGGAGGTTTTCGTAATTTGACCATAACTCATGGATGACCGTAATTTGTCCTATAATATAATATAAAAATGTACAATCATGCTATCATAATCATCGCGTCATCATTGAGATATCATCATACGCATGCATGAATATATATACACATGGATATCGAATAAAAAAAATATAAATATAAATAAATAAGAATATATACACTTGTATATATTTTCTATAATTGCAACATGAGCATTCAAATTTTAAAATTGGATGGTGCGCAATTGGACGAGGCCGACGAGCTATAAAAATTAGGCACAAGAATCTCTCTAGAAATAATCCACACTTTCTCAACAATTAATTTGGCACCACTTTGATTTAAATATAATTATAGAATATTTTGCTTAACACACATTAAGGTCAAGATACTAATTAAACTTGGTTGAAATTGATTGATGATTAGGCTAATATTCCCTATTCAAAAGTCATCTACCATATCTTCCAAAAGCTATAATGCATAGTCAATGTTTATTAATCTCCTAATTAATTAGTTATTTGATCTAATATTTATAAGTTCGATTACGCCTAGACGCGGAAAGTTAAAGCTATATCTAAGGCTAAAAATTGAACCAGACTATTCGATACTCGATTTGAGATCGCTTTTCGTTCATTCGTTAAAACTTTATTTGAGCTCGGTTCGTCAATCAAATTAACTAGATCATTTTCAATAAGGCATTAAGATCGTGTAATTGATATCTACAATAACTTTCAAGACGTATAGTATAATTATATATTGCGACTGAGTTTCGACAAGTTCAGAATTCGGAACCAAAGTGGATAATATCATATCTTGCGGTAAGAACGCGTATATTAATTACAAGACATATAATATCATATATTGCGGTTGAGATTCGATACACATTCAGAATTTCAGACCAAAGTGGATGATATCATATCTTACGGTAAATTAATTACAAGACATATAATATCATATATTGCGACTGAGATTCGACCCATTCAGAATTCGAACCAAAGTGGATAATATCATATCTTGGAGCAAAATGTATGATAATTTTCCTTGCCACGTCATCAAGGGTGATAATTATACTAATTACTTAGAAATTTAATTTGAAGTAATATACTTATAGTGGAACAAGATACAATAAGCAAAAGCAAGATGTTGCAAATACTAACTCATAGAAGAGAATATATTCATTCCTTCACCCAGCCCACATTTTTTGACCAAACATAAAATCAAAAACCCCTTACTTAATTGGGTGAAAATAATCCTTCTTGAATTTATAATATCATTTTTTGTGAATGTAATCCTCTATAATTTGCAAACTATAGCAGAAATGGAAATCACATCATATTAATTATGTGTGACAACTAACAAACTCTATGTAGCGACTGATTGGCAAAGGGATTTGAACATGGGTCAATTAACACATACTCACTTGCTCCAGCTGCAGATCATCCCTTGCGGACCAAAATCCTATAAATTGATCAACAAAAATCACGTGTCAAGAAAAAATGTAGATATTGCAAAATTAGCCCCGTAACAATATACTGCGACCAGAAAAAAAGTTATGTTCGGAACAAAAGTATAATTTGGTACAATAAATTAGCAAATATATATAAATACGAAATTTATATTGGATAAGGAACAAAACGAGTACAAAATATAGATGTGGATTTATTATTGATATTTGAAGTAAAATTAAAATTAAACATATATATGACCTAACTAATATTTCCATTTGATTAATCATACTACCCTAATACAAATTTCAGGTAATTGTTTTGTACTGAAATAAAGATATAAGTGCATGGGAAATAATTTATTTTATTAAGTTCTAAAGGCTTGTATAATCTAAAAAGTGTCTAATACTTATATCTTAACCCTAATAAGTTAATTAGTGTTTTACTTAAACTTTAATTCTAATAAAAGTTATTAGTCTCCACTTATAATATATAGCTATCTGCATATATATATATATATATATATATATATATAT